CGGGGAGATCTGCAGGGACTCCAGGGGGAGCTCTCACTACGGGGGCACAGGGAGGGAAACTGAGGCCCCCAGAGGAAGAGGGGCCAGGGCTCCGAACACACAGCCCAAGGAGCTCGGGAAAGGAGCTCTCCTGTGGCCGATGGAGGGCCACAAACGCAAGCAATGCAGTGTCCAGTGAGGGACGGCCGAGGTGTGCACCACCCTCCTTTGGCCACTGGGGCTTCTAATCTGTAGTCCTCCTAGGAAAGTGCTGATCTACTGGGTGGTCCCTAGCCCTAGACTCTGGCCTCATAGGAGAGCCTTAGCTACAGCTTTTCTGATTGGTCCAAAATTTTTCCATTTCCCTATCAGACTTCAACTCCTGGAGGTTAGGACCTGGGACCTGCCTCCCACCCTCCCATGATGCCTAGCAGATTGTCAGGAAAGACTTTATTTACTCAGCAAGAAATGGATTCCACAAGGAGCCAGGCACCTGCTTGGTTCTGGGAATCCAAGGATTGTTTGGACAACATCCCTGTTCTGCTAAGGGAGCAGATTGCTGCATGCCTCAGTATACATGCAGAAATAGAACAAGAGACCAGAGACACTGAAGCCAGTGTCAGCTGGCTGGAGGAGTCTGGGATGGCTTCCTGGAGGTGGTGACACCCCAGCTGAGTCTTAAAACTTAATTAGAAGATATCTGTGTACAGAAGATACTGTTGATTGCCCCACCAAAACTGCGTTCCCAGCTACCTTCTCTCATGTCTGTTTCTGTTGGACATCATAAATGCTAAATATTGACTGTCCCCAGCTCTGACCTAAGGTAGCATCATTAATCTCTTATGTTGATTGAGCACTTAGAATGTGTTAGGCTCTCTTCTGTAGGTTTTACATTTATCTCTATACCCCCCAAACAACCTTATGAGTTAGACTGTTATTAACAACATTTGCCATTTTACAGATCAGAAAACTGAGGTCAGAGAAAGCCAGAGACTTCCCAGCGTGGCTTAACTAGAATGTGGTGGAGCTGAGATCCAAACTTTGGTAATTTGGCTCCAAAACCCATGTATCTGACTACCACACTTCACCAACCTGCTGTGTAAGGAGAAGTTTGCTAGAAAAGTAAATGGTTCCTGCTAACAGGGGCCTGATACAATTGCTGCTATGCCTTCCCCTTCTTGTCCTGAATATAGTCATGATGGCCAGAGCCAGGGAAGCTGCCTTGTGGCCAAGAGAACTGCAAGGACGTCAGCTCAGACCCCACCATGTTACAGATCCCAGGCCAGCAATCTGTCTCTCCTAAAT